TCTACTTGCAACAAGTCAGTTTTCTTATTCAGTGACCTTCACAGACAAGTCTTCCTAAATGAGCACTGCCTCACACCTCAAATTCTCCATGCCCCTAAGCTTGCCTTATTCCTTTAAATAGTCTTATCCCTCCTGGTTATGTCGCCTGTTTCTTTGTTTCTTCATCATTTCCCTCCATGTGATGCCTAATGTTATTTGTCTACATGACTGGACCATGGCACCCAGATATTTGTTCCAACAGTACTCTGGATGTTTCTGTGAAGGCTTTGTTTGTTTGCTTTGTATGAGTTGAACATTTAAAGTGCTAAACTTTGAGTAAACTAGATACCTTCTGCAATGTGTGTGAGTCTCATTCAATCAGTTGAAGGCCTTAGTAGAACGAAGACTGAGACCCTTAAGGTAGAAAGAATTCCGCCAGACTGCCTTTGAACTTCAGCTGCTCTCCCTCTGACTCTGCAACATACTGACCTACTCCATCAGCTGAATCTGGACTTGCCAAGCCTTTCCAGTTGTGTGAGCCAATTCCTGAAAATCAATCAGTCTCTGTCTCTTCATACACACACACACACACACACACACACACACGCTCACACTCACTCTACTGGGTCTATTTCTGTTGAGAAGCCTGACCAATACACTTCATGTACACATAAATGCTATAAGAGCTCAGAGAAGGCAATGGACCCCACTCCAGTACTCTTGCTCGAAAATCCCATGGACGGAGGAGCCTGTTGGACTGCAGTCCATGGGGTCGCTGGGAGTCCGGACATGACTGAGCAATTTCATTTTCACGCATTGGAGAAGGAAATGGCAACCCACTCCAGTGTTCTTGCCTGGAGAATCCCAGGGACGGGGGAGCCTGGTGGGCTGCCATCTATGGGGTCGCATAGAGTCGGACACGACTGAAGCGACTTAGCGGCAGCCCCAGCAGCTATAAGAGCTGAGTCTTTATCTGTATACTGCTCTGTTCCCGGAGTCTGTCTGGCACAGAGCAGGCACTCAACTGGAGAAGGAAATGGCAGCCGTCTCCAGTATTTTTGCCTGGAAAATCCCATATATGGACAGAGGATCCTGGTAGGCTATAGTCCATGGGGTCACAAACAATCAGACAAGGCTGAGTGACTAAACAGCAACAAAGGTACTCAGCAAAGTATTTGCTCATTTAAATAATTGATTAATGTATCAGCTAATATTATTCCCAGCAGAATCTAAAACTGAGGTCCTTTTGACTTTTTAACCTTTGTTATGATGGTTAATTTTATTCCTTTTCTCCCCATTTGGTTATCATTTTCTTTAGTTTATCTGCTTTTCAAATCTTTAACTAATTTTCTGGCCTTTTCAGCTTTTTTGAAAAACAATTTTTGAGCATTCTAATCATTTAGTTCTTTGTGGATTTCCTGCCTTGTCACAATTAAAAACACCCCAGTTTCTGCTAGGAAAGTTTGGGTTAAATCTTTGCATACTGCAAACTTGAGCTAATTTAAAAACTTAAAAAGATGCAAGCTGTGTGGAAACTGCTTATATCGTATCATGTAACAGTTAGAATATGCTCTTTAGACCCATCTTTCTTTTTTTAATACTTGACATAATTGTTTGATGCTGAAGTAAGTAGGAAATGTTTCCAGAAATTGAACTCTCTGAAGCTGATGTGATCAAATATGAGGTGAGTTTGGTGCTGCCAGTATCTGCTTCAGGGCCAATGTGAATGTCTTTCACTGGTCTACTCCAAGATTCATATTTCTCAAATTCTGAATGTATTTTGAACAGAGACTTTTGATTTCCAGTCAAAAACTTCAAAACTTAAGTGAAATGTATTAGCAAGGACATTTCTTTCAGACAGTTCCAGAAAGTTGAGTATATGCACAGTGTTTTTAGAAATAACACTAATATAACAATTCATAAATGTAAAATGTGCTGCTCGTTTGAGCACTTGATCATTTAAACCAGGAATTGTGGACCTGCTCATAATATTGTCACATGATTATTAAATGAAATTAGCATACCAAGGAAGATGGGCCCTGTAGCTGGAGGGCACACACACACACACACACACACACACACACTATTGTGCATCAACTTTGAACACCTTTGAGCTGTCAGTTTTGACTAGTCCAATTTTGACTCAAATCTCTTTGAGTTTAAATCTGTGGCATTTTCTTCAGTTTCTGGTGAGAAACCAGAATTGAAAGAGGAGAGCAAGTAGTATCTCACTGTTAATTCCCTTTCCAGGCCTTGAGGTGGCTAATAACACAAAGAAATTGCTCCTACTCAGCTTGGTTGCTTAGAATCAGTTTTCCATTATCTGTTGTAGAAGGGGCTTACTGATTTCTTCTAGCTACAGAGATTTGTACATTTGTGCAAGAATTTTCATGTGCTGGCATTGTCTGGAATGTTAATATGGTTAGTATATTTAATTCCTGACTGTCACATAGAGCAAAGTTTGTGATAGAATGAGGATCCTAAAACATGAGTGATTTTCATTTGAAAGCCCTTCCCATCTTAACAGTGAATGCTTTGGTGTGATTTCAATTACATTATTTCCTAAAGTGTCCAATTCAGTTACTGTTCATTAGCTATTGATTCTATGATTTAGAAGAGGGACTAATATTAACAGGATGATCTTCTGTAGAGAAGGTAAGAATTGGGGAACTGTCATCTTGAAAAGAGACATTAATACTGATAAATATCTTTAGTTCAGAGATGCTTTAGAAAAAGACCATAGGTTCAAATGTGTTTTAAAAAGTAAAAGTCAGGCAAGTAGAATGTTAAAAAAATTCCCAAATGATTAATATATTATAAATAACACATCCCTGTGCAAGTCTGCTTTTGGAAACTTAACATTCATTTTCGATGATAATCAGTGTTACACAGCTGTCTATTCACAGAACCTGGCACAGAGTATGTGCTAAAGAAATGTCTGTTGGGTTGAAAAGGCAGTGGTTTGATAGTGAAGCCAGCACACTGAGGCATAATTCCTCTGATCTGTTTACCAGCTCCAGTTATTCTTTAAATAGAATCGTTGACATAGAAAAAGTAAGCTACATTTTACGGTGAGTTGGGTGAGCAAGAAAAACACTTAATATGAGTAAGGTGACTTAGACAAGTCCTAGCTCTCTGCTTTTTGCTCATGAGTACCCTGGATAAGTCAGGTATTTTCTTGATATTCTGGTGTGATTTTTCCTCCTGGAGTCTGGATGTTAGTAATGGATTTTTGTTTTTTTATTTATTTTTAAAATATTTTTCTTCCTTTCTTTCTTTGACTGGGCTGGGTCTTAGTTGCCACATGTGAATCTTTGTTGCTGCGCAGACTGTCTCTCTAGTTATAGCATGTGGGCTCCAGAGCTTGTGGGCTGCAGTAGTTGTGGCATGAGGGCTTCGTTGCTCCTTGGCATGTGGGATCTTAGTTTCTCCAACCAGGTATCGAATTCATGTCCTCTGCATTGCGAAGTGGGTTCTTAAGCACTGCACTACCAGGGAAGTCCCTGGAAATGCATTTTTAAAATCAGCCATCCCAGAAGGAAAAGATGGCAACCACAACTCCTTCATCCTTCCTTCCTTGGAGGTCCCATGGTATCTTGTGACTTAGAGGGGAATGCAGGCTTTGGTGACAAAGGTGGAAGGGCTAAAAGGGAAGATTTGGGGACTCCTGTGACAGGATTTATACACAAAGAATGTTTAGTTCCCTTAACCCAGGAGATGCCATGAAGTAGAAAAAAATAATGTATGCCATGAAAACTGTGAAAAATGACCTTGAGGGAAAAAACCCTCAGAACTAGTAGCTTAAAAAATTTTGATGCTTGGCAATGAATTTACATATTCCACATAGAATGAAAGATTATTTAACTTTGTGTTTGGAGAGACAAACAATAAATGTTTAGAAAACCTGAGAAAGAAATCAAACAGACATTAACCCCAAATGTTTCTATACATTTTAGGAGCTCATTTTTCTGAGGAACTCAAGTCTACAACTGACTAAGATAAATCTGACACAGTGTCCCTTATGGGTTTTGTCTCCCAAACAGAGGAACCAGTATTAAAAGAAGTTCATTTTTCCTGAATAAAAGTGAAAAAAAATCCTGTGGGATTTATTGTGAAAGCCACCAGGCTCTTCTGTCCATGATTGTCCAGGCAAGAATACTGGAGTGGGTTGCCATTTCCTTCGCCAGCAGATCTTCCCCACCCAGGGATTGAATTTGAGTCTTCTGCACTGTTGGCAGATTACTCACTGTCTGATTCACCTATTAGTGCTGGTTAACCAGGAAGGATTTCATCAGCACTAAAGATTCTGTCACTATATATAAAAAAGGGAGGAATAGAAAATTCTATAAGCTAAGTACCAGGTTTGGGAGAAATTACCACTTTTTATCCTCACAGCCCTTCAAAACAGAAAGTACTGTTGTCCCTTACAGATGAGGACATTGAGGATCACTGAGGTTATCTAACTTGCCCAAAGTCAATGTCAACAGCAGAGCTAGGATTCAAACCACAACTGTATTTAAATTTCATGTTTTTTCCCAGTCTGCCATGTTGTCCCTTGCTGGAACTTTATGATAATGCAACAATAATAAATAATAATAATATTGCTTACCAGACACCTGTTTGTTGTGTGTCTGGAATTGTGCTAAGAGCTTTAAATGCATTATTTTATTTATCACACCAAACCTGTGAAGAAGAGATTATTTCCACCTTACCGAAGAACAGAGACTTGGAAAAATTAGGTGACTTTTCCTTCAATCTTGTGGCTGGTAAGTGGGAGCCTTGACTTTTGAGGCCAGAGCTACCATCTATGATGCTGTTTTTCTGGGGTGGTTTGGAGAACCTGAGGTTTGGACTGTTATGAGGTTGACCTGCTCCTTTTTTGGAGATGGGTCTGTGGAAGGATGCCTACGTCGATCTGTGTGCAGCAAATAAACACAGCCGTTTGGGGTGAGTTAACACCTTTTTACCAGGTTGCTTAATTCAAAAGTCAGTAGAATTCTCTTCATGCTTTTCTTTTACAGATATTTATCTCTGTTGCTGGACCATTGTCTAAAGGTGAAAAGGCCCACGTGGCTGGTATCGACTCTGAGGCGCTGAAATTGACTAAGAATATTACTGAAGTGAGTTCCTGCCCAGAAGGCCTACATCGTGAGCACCAATTTTGTTGTCTGCCTTGTCTGCCTGGTATGTTATACACACGCAAACAAAAAAATCCAGTAATCAGAGTGAAAATCAGGGTAAGGAGTAGCATGTAGTAATACTGAAGAGTGTTTATACGCATTTAGTTCTCCTGCATTATGGCATGACTGAAAAGAAAAAAAACTATGACATTATTTTCCCAAGACTAACTTTTACATTTATTTACTTTTTAATTGAAGGATAATTGCTTTACAGAATTGTGTTGGTTTCTGCCAAACATCAACATGACTCAGCCATAGGTGTACATATGTCCCCTCCCTCTTGAATCTCCTCCCCACCCCACCCTTCTAGCTTGTCACAGAGCCCCTGTTTGAGTTCCTTGAGATACACAGCAAATTCCTCTTGGCGATATATTTTATATGGTAATGTAAGTTTCCATGTTACTCTCTCCCTACATCTCAGCTTCTCCTCCCCTCTCCCCATGTCCATAAATCTATTCTCTATGTCTGTTTCTCCATTGCTGTCTTGCCAATAAATTCATCAGTACCATCTTTCTAGATTCCATATATATGCATTAGTATATGATATTTATCTTTCTCTTTTTGACTTACTTCACTCTGTATAATAGGCTCTAGGTTCATCCACCTCATTAGAACTGACTCAAATGTGTTCCTTTTTATGGCTGAGTAATATTTCATTGTGTATATGTACCACAACTTCTTAATTCATTCATCTGTTGATGGACATCTAGGTTGCTTTCATGTTCTAGCTATCGTAAATAGTGCTGCAGTGAATGTTGGGGTGCATGTGTCTTTTTCAATTTTGGTTTCCTCAGGGTGTATGCCTAGGAGTGGGACTGCTGGGTCATATGGTGGTTTTATTCCTCCAAGGCTAGCTTATTTTATCTTTGTCACACTAGTTTGATGTGAGCATGAGTAAATATAATTTGTAAATGACATGTACCTCAGAAGTGAGAGGATTTATTTGTTTAGCTCCATTTTTCAATACCCAAAAAAGACTAGTTTGTGGATATTAAAATTGACCACATCAGAACTGGTTAGAATGTATCATAATAATTGTGGAGCTCTAAAAGCAAGAAACTTCTACTCTTAAGAGATATGTCTCAACACTTCCCTTCAATCAGAAAGTCTCTAAGAAAAATGTTTGTCCTAGCACTGAAGCCTGCAAAATACATTTGCATTTTGCAACTGAATAACTAGATGAGCTAGAAAAGCAACGGATAAAAACCAACCATTTTTTAAAATCAGTATTTTTGAAATGAAAACCCAATTTCAGATCGGAAATCCTCTGAACACTAGCAAATTAAAAGCTAAGCGAAATGCAGTTGTGCAGACTTTTATTTTCAACACGGAGTAGAGTTGACTACTATGATATACAGATAAGCATTTCCCAGCTGCATCATGAAGGAAGACAGGAAGATAATGGAAAACAGCACATGGGCATATGCAATAGATTAATAGAACCATAAAGGATGGTAGTAGGTTTCATATTTGGCTTTCCAGGCCTCCAGTACTTAAGCTGCTAGACAGATGTGGGCCCTGTTTATGAAAAGATTCTAACCATCTTACTTGGCCTTCTCTCCAGGTTTTAACAACCCTTATGGAAAATCTGTCATAATCCAACCCATTTATATTTAAGCCTATTTATATTTAGTCTTCTACAAATGAGAATAAAGAATGGCTTCCTGGCTTTTTGTAATCTGCTGGTAAAGAATCCGCCTGCAATGCGGAATACCTGGGTTTGATCCCCGGTTTGGAAAGATCCCCTGGAGAGGAGAAGGAAATGGCAACCCACTCCAGTACTCTTGCCTGGAAAATCACATGGACAGAGGAGCCTGGTAGGCTACAGTCCATGGGGTCGCAAAGAGTTGGACACGACTGAGCGACTTCATGCTCACTCACAAACACCATCTACTTGTCTTATGAATTGAGATCTTTACTCATATTTTTAAACCCTAAAATGCAAATTAAAATGAAGATAATATGCTTTGCATATCAAGCTGTTAAGGACTTTTGTTTGCTTGCTTTTTTTGTTTTGCTTTATTTTATTTTCATTTTCAAAGTGATCTCAGTCCTAGTGAGTTTGCTTATGAAATAAGCAAACTTGCCTACGTCACTCTTGGAATGTAAATTGTTAAAACATTTTAAGAAAGAAATCCTGATATGCGGGTCAAAAATTTGAAAATCTACTGATACTATAATAGATTTGCATATGTATAACATTTCACTGTGATACCCAATGATGTGAGATTAAGTAAATTTCAAAGTATTCAAAGATTGGAAGACTATGTATCAATCAAAATCATGTCTTCTGATATATTTCTGATACAAACCTCAATGTATATAAATTTCCTTAAGAGAGTTCTAACTGATCTGCTGGCTGGATTAATTGATTCTCTCTGCTCCATCTCTGAAACATCCTGGATGGTGTTCAATATGTACTAAAAATCTTCCCACTTCTATTCCTTTTTGAAAAAAAATTTAAGCTTATCAATATCCAAATTGTTTCCAAAAATTTTTGCAATAGTAATATATAATTTAACATTACATAAATCAGTAAACAAATACACAGAAAAAACATTTAATTTCTATGAAAATTATTTTTAGTGCTTTGTAGAATTTCAGTAAAGTCGAGCTACTAAAAAAATTATTAATGAATTAGGTGGAGGCAAAATACATGGGAAAAATAATGAAACTATGAAAGCCTTTCATACAGATTATTGAAGTCTTTAACTTTTCTTTCCATCAAAAAGAAAGGAAGAAGGAGAAAGAAAAAAGAAATTGTAAGTGATACATTTTGTATGTGACTTAAGTGTGAAAAAAGCTGGAATTCTAATAACTTGTTTCTATATCACAAAAGTGGCAAATAATTATACAGGTATACTTTATAAACTGAATTATTTGTAGTAATTTTTCTGTGATCCCCTATGTGAATTGACATTTTTTTAATAAAAAAAAGTCCTTATCACATCACCATATCCAATAAGAAGGATTCTATGGTACACTGCATACATTGCACATATATGTTTATATATATATATTAATATATATACACACACACACACACACACACAGGTATGTATTTACTCACATGTATATATGTGTGTATTTATATGTGTAGGAATGCACCAAAATAATATCTCAGAGTGGTTGATATATAGGTGCTTTTTACACTTTCCTAAAATTTATACAGTGAGCATATGTAGTAGTATACTCAGAAACAAATACATTTTAAAATATTATTTTCAAGAAAACAACTCCTTTTTTAATATTGATAAATTTAGGTTTTACACATTGGAAGAAAGAAAGAACTTGTGCTATTATATCCCTGTCATGCCATAAGCATTCTGCAAGGTAATTCATTAAAGAGGTCAGTCCATTTAGAAAGCAGTATAATTCTACTGGCAAGCAATTCAAGATGTACTTTGACTTGGTTTTCTTAAACATACTGCTGCAATGATATAGAACCCTGATACCCTGTATTTAAATTTGGTTCTGAGTTTCCACAATTTGTTTATTTTTTCCTATTGACATATCATTGCCTTTGTTTACTAAAGTATTATATATGTTTAAATTTCATGGCTTGTTTATGTATTGAGTAGTATTTTGTTTTATCAAAAAGAATGCTGTGAAAAGAAATTATTAAGAAAGTCATGTTCCTAGGAAAGATGGTATACATAATTTTTGCTGTTCATGCGAATAGGGCAGATTAAAATAAAGTGCATACCAGCTATCTTCAGGAAACATCCTGGAAGATATTACTGGACACTTTACTAACATCCCATTGGCCAGAATTTAGTTACATGACCATGCAAAGGAGGCTGGGAGATGTAGTCTTGACTCAGGACAGCCATGTCTCCTAGTAAACACTCTCTTCTTATGAGAGAAGGAAAAATGGATATTAGGTGAATCAGGGATCTCTGCAACATTGATTGATCTTTTACAAAGTTCTAAATTAAGAAAAATGTAAAGACATTGTAATGTGTTGAACTGTGTAGTAATCACCATTTGCAGTTAGGTTTTTGGCACCTATAGTGGGCATACCAAGTAAGTAGTTCCCCAGTAAAGCGATCCCAGGAAGGCAAACAAGGAAGCTTTGACTTCAGAGAGCGAGTTACGGGACAGTGTTAAAAAGGAAAAGGAAAGCAAGTGAAGAATCATGTTCTGGTACACACATTCTCCAGTGCAGCAGGTAAGCCACTGGGACTGTGAGATGAAGGCAGAGAAATAGGACAGATCCCCTGACCTGTTTTATCAGAGCCCCTGAAAAGCTTTGTCATATTAATAGCTTGTAATATGATAGCTGACATCTTTACCAAGCAGATATTAAATTGTGTTTCATAGTTTAAGTTCGGGCATGACACTGCTTTCAAATCTTCCATCTGACACTTACAGGATGATCAGTGTATTCGGGTTTGCCCAAGACTTCCCCAGTTTTAGCACCGAAAGTCTCTCATCCTAGGCAAACAGGGATGATTGGTCCTCCTAGCTATTTACAAGCTTCATGTCCTTGGGCAAGATACTTGATTTCTTTGAGTCTGGTTCTTTAACTGTAAAAGGGGAGTAGTAATAGTTCTGACCTTTTGTGATTATTGTGAACAATAAATGGAATGTGTTAATAGTGTGTAGCAGAGTGCTTGGCTCAATAAGTGTTAATATTATTATTTATTGTTACCATTTTAAGAATTATAACAGGTTCATGTACATTTGAATGGGTTCATTTGAATGGATCTGATGAGTTCATATACATTTTACCTGCATTCTTCTGAATAGAACTACATGCTATATTGGAATAAGTGAAACTGAGAATTTGTGATGGTCCTATAACATATTGCTCATGAATGACAATGAGCTACTGTAACTGAGGAATTTTCTTTTAAAATTTAACATAAATCTCAAGTGTTTCTTCTCTCACTTTCTCTGTATACTAATCCACTAATCTTTTGTTGTTACTGCCATGGAATCTGAAATGAGAATATTTTCTGAACAGTTACGTAAAGTAATTGTCTGAAATGTTACAGTAAATTCGAGTAGCACTGTCATATATACATGCTGGTTCTGGGCCCTAGCTTGAAAGAGCTGAAATCACCTAGTGGAATTTTAAGTCGACAGACAAGCCAGCAACCGAGACAATCCCACCTGTACTTAAAATGGCTCCCCTGTTCTCACCTAGAGCCTGTCTACTCCAAGTATAGTTTATAAGCCAGCAAAATCCACATTACCCAGGAGTTTGTTAGAAATGCAGAATGTCAGGCCCTGCCCCAGACCTACTCAATCGGACCAATGCCGAAACCCTCATTTAGAGATTCTGATTTAATTGCTCTGAGATGGGACCTGAGTGAGAGAGTGAGTGAAAGTCGCTCAGTCGTGTCCAACTCTTTGCAACCTCATGGACTGTAGCCCACCTGGCTCTTCTGTCCATGGGATTCTCCAGGCAATAATACTGGAGTGGGTTGCTGTTTTCTCCACCAGGGGATCTTCCTGAGCCTGGGATTGAACCTGTGTCTCTTACATTTCCTGCACTGGGAGGCGGATCCTTATGTATACATAAAGCTGATTCGCTTTGTTATATAGAAGAAACTAACACAACATTGTAAAGCAATTATACTCCAATAATAAATTTTTTAAAAAAACTAAGAAAAAGACAAATAATGCTATGAAGTTATTAAGAAAGTCATATACCTGAAAAAAACAGAATAAATTATTTTTGCTGTTCATACTAGGGGGGCAGATTAGATTTTGCCTATTCTTTTTATTTAGATGATTACAAGTTTAGACACTACTTAGGCTTTTCTCTTAAACTTCCCTTTATATTTTCTCTTTCATCTTTCTCTGTTCCCTTGCTGTTCCCCTTATATTTTCTCTTCTTTCACTGTTCCTTTGCTATAACCTAGCTTCCCCCACAGCAATTATCATCACTTGCCATCTGTATTTATTTGTGCATTGCCTGCTTCTACCTTGAGAATGTGAAATCTTTGGAGACCAAGGACTTGTCTTCCAAGGGTATCTCCAGCTCCTAGAAAGTGCCTGGCACACAATAGGTATTAATAAACACTTCTTAAGGAAATGAATTTTCCAGAAGACAGTGTTGTATGAAAAAGAAAGTGAAAGTCACTCAGTTGTGTCCAACTTTGCAACCCCATGAACTATACAGTCCCTGGAATTCTCCAGGCCAGAATACTGGAGTGGGTAGTCTTTCCCTTCTCCAGGGGATCTTCCCAACCCAGGAATCAAACCAGGGTCTCCCGCATTGCAGGCAGATTCTTTAGCAACTGAGCTATCAGGGAAGGCCATTGTTGTATAATACTTACTAATAGCAATCCAGTGATTCATTTTATTTTTAAAGTAAAGGAAAACAAACATGAATATGATTTAAAATGTTGTGTATTAAGATAGCAAACCTGGTAATAAAGTTCATTCCTACACATTATAACAAACTATGTCACTTAGTGGCAAAGGAATAGAAAGAAAGAGGAGTGAAAAGGAAACTGTGAGCACTTACTGGGCAGGTCCCTTGCAGTTCTTTTAGCTGTGCAAGTGAAGTGTGATTATCTCCAACACATGTATGAAGAAATTCGGTTCAGAGAGATTAAGCAGCTTGTTAGAGATATTATTGCTGTTCAAAAGTTAACCAGTCTTTAGAACTTCAAATATTCTTTTCCTTAAACAATACTGTTCTTGCCAGGATTTGTGGACTTTGGAAAGTCAAATGAGAAGTCAGAGCAAGAATTGGGTCATCTCAGTGGCCAGTGGCAGTCATCTCTTAATATGAATATATACTTAGCAACCTTCTTCCCTCCTCCCCCCAAAGCTGGTAAAGGCATCTCTCCCAGTGCTTTTGGTCATTCTGACCTCTTTTTCATATGTTCCTATTGCTAATCATCCTATAGATGTAGGCATAGGAACTTCCCTGGTGGGCCAGTGGTTAGAAATCTGCCAATGCAAGGGACGTGAGTTCGATCCCTGGTCCAGGAAGATTCCACATGCTGTTGGGCAGCTAAGCCCATGTGCCACAACTACTGAAGCCTGAGTGCCCTAGAGCCTGTGCTTTAGCACAAGAGAAGCCACTGCAGTGAGAGGCCTGCACACCACAACTCGAGAGTAGCACCTCCTCGCTGCGACTAGAGAAAGCCCGTGTGCAGCAGCAAAGATCCAGCACAGCCAAAAATCAACCAGTCAATCAATAAAAATTTTTTAAAAATGAAGTAGGCATAGCTCTCAGTAACTCTTTTAACTTTTGTCTTGGGAGAAATTCTGTCTCTTGATACGATTTTTCAACAACCTTCTCCACTACTATATTTATATTTCATTAGCTTAGCCCTTCCACTCATGTTTCAGCAGTGTTTTTTTTTTATCATCCCTGCAGACTTCCCTTGCTGTTGCATGACCACCTTGTGTTTAAACACTTGCTCCATTTTTTCCCATGGGCAGGCGAACGGAAAACCAGTGATTGCAAACACGACAAAGGTAAACCAGAATGTGTGTTCTGCACAGAGGGGAAAGACTACACAGACACAAGCCATCATTCTGACAAATGCATAAGATGTAGCACCTGTGATGAAGAACACGGTAAGTGTCTTTAAAAAACATTCAAAAGGGACAGATCATGGTACTGCATGTAGCACCACGTATAATACAGTCAGAAACTGGGACCTAAGCTGGTGCTATGTCAGCCTACAGGAGGGAGAGGGTGGGGCTGATGGGGATGAAGCAGGATCAGGTACTGTGTGAATGACCGGTCTAGACATTTATGGGTCAAGTCTAGGCAGTTCTTCCAGATGTAAGAGAATGACTAAATGTAAGCATGATGAACAGGACCCATCAGCTCTAATCAGAATTGCAGAGACTTTTTTTCCTGCCTTGATTTATGCTTGTAAAATGGCTTTTGTTCTTAGCCAGAAAGAGCTCAGAAGCCTGCAGATACAAGGACAGGGAAACCCAAGAGGTGGGTGGACTGCTCCCCCTTTCTCTGAGGATCTGGCTTGTCCTGATAATTACTGTTGAGGACCTGAATTTTCATGGATATTCTAGTCTGTCTTGAGGGTTCAGATTAAAATAAAGCAGAAGTACTCCCCATTTTGTTAGACATCAAGAACTCTCTGAACATAAAGTTTTCTTGTCCCTGTTCAGTCTCTAAAGCAGTATTTCTCAACCCTGACTGTATAGTGGAATCAAACAGGAAGCTATGAAAATTGCCAACATTTAGATCCAATTTCAAGGGCTTCCTAGTGGTTCAGATGATCAAGAATTTGTCTGCAGTGCAGGAAACTCAGGTTCGATCCCTGGCCTGGGAAGATTCCCTGGAGAAAAGAATGGCTACCCACTACAGTATTGTTGCCTGGAGAATTCCTTGGACAGAGGAGCCTGGCAGGCTATACAGTCCATGGGGTCACAAAGAGTTGGACACCACTGAGTGACTTTCACTCACTCTCTCACTCAGGTCCCAACTCAGAGTAATTAAATCAGAATCTCTAAGTAAGGGTTTTGGCATTGGTCTGATTGAGTAGGTCTGGGGCAGGGCCTGACATTCTGCATTGCTAACAAGCTCCTAGGTGATGCTGATGTTACAGATCTATAAGCCATACTTTGAGTAGCCAGGCTCTAGACAAGAACAGGGGAGCCATTTTAAGTACAGGTGGGATTGTCTAGGTTGCTGGATTTTCTGTCTGCTTAAAACACTGCTAGATGATTTCAGCTCTTTCAACCTGGGGTTGTCTATTTGGCATTTAAACGCTAGTTATGTTACTAAAGGTTTGATAGTTTGACTGCTGATGTCAGCGCTGGATCTCAAAAACCCATGCTGCTCCTGCCCATCCTTTTCATTGTTCATTCATCAAATTGGTTTTCTAGGGCTAGAAGTGGAACAAAACTGTACCCGGACCCAGAATACCAAGTGCAGATGCAAATCAAACTTTTTTTGTAACAGTTCTCCGTGCGAACACTGTAACCCTTGTACCACGTAAGTTTTAGTCTTTCTCTGGTTAAAACAGTAGGCATATCTCGAGAGAAAATGATCTCCTGAAAGGGAAGCAACACTGGCTGAGAGTGAAGAATTTGGGTTTTAATCTTGCTTTGCCTCCAAGAAACTAGATAACCATTTTTTCCCCCAAACATCCTGTGTCTAAATATTTATTGAACACCTCCTGCATACTTGATTCTGTGCTGGCTGCTCAAGCCATTGATGTATGCAGACACATGCCTGGTCTTGAAGATCTAAGGCTAGAGGCAGAGAGTGTCAAGGAAGATGATGGTTATTATGTTCAGACCATATGGTAAGACTTGTGCTTCAGATTTTGAGTTATATAGGAAAACCTTTCAACTCTGGGGGGGTGGGTAAAGATATGACACATGACTTGAGTCTTGAAAAAAGGAAGGAAAGATACTTACCTGGTATATACAGATAGAAAGGACATTTCAGGCAGGGGAACAGCAACTGCAACAAGGCAAATGGAAGCTCTGGAGAACAAAGGACCTGGCTGGAGTTTAAGAAAGACTGAGAAGGAACCAGGTCAGATCATGAAGGACCTGTCTTTCATGCTAAAGTGCTTGATTTTAACCCAAAGATAGGACACCTGATTCTAGGTTTCACTTTTCTTCCGATTAATCAGGTGATTTTGAACAGATCACATAACCTCTCTGCACTTTGGTTTCCACACTCATTTTGTTGTTGTTCAGTCACTAAGTCATGTCCAACTGTTTGCGACCCCATGGACTGCAGCATGTCAGGCTTCCCTGTCCTTTACTATCGCCCAGTGTTTGTTCAAACTCATGTCCATTGAATTGATGATACCATCCAACCATCTCATCCTCTGTTGCCCTTTTCTCCTCCTGCCCTCAATGTTTCCCACCATCAGGGTCTTTTCCAGTGAGTTGGCTGTTTGCATTAGGTGGCCAAACTATTAGAGCTTCATTTTCAGTATCAGTCCTTCCAATGAATATTCAGGGTTGATTTCCTTCAGCAAGGATTTGATCTCCTTGCTGTCCAAGGGACTCCCAAGAGTCTTATCTAGCACCAGAGCTCAAAAGCATCAATTCTTTGGTACTCAGCCTTCTTGATGGTCCAACTCTCACATCCATACATAACTAATGGAAAAACCATAGCTTTGACTATATGGTCCTTTGTCAGCAAAGTATTGTCTCTGCTTTTTAATACACTGTCTAGTTTTGTCATAGCTTTTCTTCCAAGGAGCAAGTGTCTTTTAATTTCATGGCTACAGTCACCATCCACAATGATTTTGTGGCCCAAGAAAATAAAGTCTGTCACTTTCCATTTTTTCCCCCATCTATTTGCCATGAATGATGGGACTGGATGCCATGATTATAGTTTTTTGAATGTGGATGCAAATAATACTCACTTGTCTTATCAACATCTTTTCTGTGACAATCAGATTGGGTAATATGTGCTGTAAAAATTTGTCAAAGCTCACCTAGTTAGGGAATGGGCAGAGCCAGCTTATAATTCAGATAATTTGTCAGTATTTGGCTGTCTGAAGAAAATCCTACAGGGACTTCTTGAGTGCCCTATCACTAGTTAATATAAAAAAGGAGGTCTTTAGGGGCTAGCTAGGTAGACTCCATAAGCAGCAGCCTGGGCAGTGGGCTATTATCTGAGCATTTTACTGCTCCATAACTGTTTTGAAATTGCTTTTGGCAATTTATGATTTTAAGTTTATTAGCTAATTAAACTTTATTTTTATGTCTATTCTTTTTTCTCACATGTTGATATTTTAATGCCTTTTTTTTTTCCTCAAGGTATTTTTAACCCATAGTCATTCTTTAGGATATTTTCCATCCAAACACCCAAATTATGTTACGAATTTGCACCAAGTAGATGCTAAAAGAAACTAAGATCGTGTCATCCAATCTCATTAGGCATGCATGCTTAGTCGCTCAGTCATGTCTGTGTCTTTGCGACCTCATGGACTGTAGCCCGCCAGACTTCTCTGTCCATGGGTTTCTCCAGGCAAGAACACTGGAGTGGGTTGCCATTTCCTTCTCCAATCTGGTCCTATCACTTCATGGCAAATAGATGGGGAAAAAATGGAAACAGTGACAGACTTTATTTTCTTGGACTCCAAAAATCACTGTGGATGGTGACTGCAGCCATGAAATTAAAAGACACTTGCTCCTTGGAAGAAAAGCTATGACAAACCTAGACAGTGTTTTAAAAAACAGAGACATTACTTTGCTGACAAAGGACCATATAGTCAAAGCTATGGTTTTTCCATTAGTTATGTATGGATGTGAGAGTTGGACCATAAAGAAGGCTGGGTGCCGAAGAATTGATGCTTTCAAACTGTGGTGTTGGAGAAGACTCTTGAGAACCACTTGGACAGCAGGGAGATCAAACCAGTCAGTCCTAAAGGAAGTCAACCCTGAATATTCATTGGAAGGACTGATGCTGCAGCTGAAGCTCCGATACTTCAACTGCCTGATGTGAAGAGCCAACTCATTGCAGAAGACCCTGATGCTGGGAAAGATTGATTGCAGGAGGAGACAGGGATGACAGAGGATTAGATGGTTGGTTGGCATCACCGAATCAATGGACATGAGTTTGAGCAAACTCTGGGAGATGGTGAAGGACAGGGAATCCTAGCATGCTGCAGTCTATGGGGTCGCAAAGAGTTGGACACGACCGAGTGACTGTACAACAACAGAAAGCTAATCTAGAAATATTTGAGGGAATATGTTTGCCCAAGATGCAAAAACAGATAAAATGTCCCTGGATTTACAGTACGTTATTGAAAATGATCAAGGAATCAGTCCATCAGACTTTTTGAATTCCCTCTCTGTTTTTTTCTAGGTGTGAACATGGAATCATTGAGAAGTGCTCACCAACTAGCAACACCAAATGCAAAGGTTATTATTTCTTTTTATGATTATACTCTTCTTTCTCCCAAACTCACTGTAAAATACGAAGAAAAGGCAATCCATTTTGATTCTATGAGTACTTTGTTTTCATCTTTTTTTTAATAATCTTAAGAAGTACGTACTTTCATATACCATGTACAATGTTCCTATCTACAGGATCCAGATCTCACTCAAACAGTTTATGGGCCCTGCTGATCCTCCTCATTCCAATAATTCTAATAATATACAAAGGTAAGCTCTTACTTCATTCAAATGGCAGGTTGAAGTGACTTGGGAAGCCATTGTTTACAAGAATTCCCTTCTGTCTTTTACTTGTAAGAAAGCTCCTAGCAGGTAGCAACTCTGATATAGAGTTAAATTCCTACTTCTAAATGCACCCCTGAGAGCTGATAAGAATAGATGATATTATCCTTCAGCTACTGTTTTTGAGCAACCATTCTGGGGCACTGATTGGATATTCCCATCCTCCCCACGAACAAGGGCATTTTCATTTAGACAGCAGCCAAGTTGGCCAAGAATTGGAAGTAGTCCTTCACTCTACATTGAGATAATCCCCTGCATAAAGAGAACTCCAAGAGCAAAGGGATTGCGGCAGACGCTTGAGAAATTCATCCCTCTCTGTGCCTCTTCTCCCTTGTCCAGACCCCATGTTTTTTAATTATTTAACCACTTTAACCTTAAAGACTGTGGCATACCTTTTATGCAAGAGTTACTTAGTAAAATCATCAGGTAAACAAAAATTTGGAACACTTATAATTGTACTCTGGGCTTCTCAGGTGGTTCAGTGGTAAAGAATTTGTTTGCCAATGCAGAAAACACAGGTTCGATCCCTGGGTCAGGAAGATTGCCTGGAGAAGGAAATGGCAACCCGCTCCGGTATTCTTGCCTGGGAAACCCCATAGACAGAGGAGCCTGGTGGGCTACAGTCCATGGGGTCACAAAAGAGTCGGACACAACTTAGCGACTAAAGCAACAGCAATAATTATTCTAGAAAACTCCCATTAGATCATTCATACAACACATAGCAGAGCCAACTTTCAATAGCACTGATACATCCAATTTTTCTTTTCTATTGGAACAAACCACTGTTTCTCCAGGTCAACTGAAGATAAAAAAAAATTATCTTGCCTTGAGAGGTTGTTTAGCTGAAAATATAAACTCAATGTTTAAACACTTTAAATGCCACTTCATGGCAAACCGATGTCAACTTTCTGTAACCTATGGCTTCTCTGCCCTGCTGTAGCCATGTTACCCAGCTTCAAGCCAGTGAGACGGAGTGGTGATGGCCACACAATAAGGCAAAAGCCAGCTTCAGACTAGGCCAGTGTGTGGTAACTGGATGGCTCCATTAAGATGTGGCATATCAGGACATTCCAGATGGTCCAGTGGTTAAGATTTTCATCTTCCAGTGCATGGGGCATGGGGTGTAGGTTCGATCCCTGGTTGGGGAGCTAAGAGCCTACATGCCTTATGGCGAGAAAACCAAAACGTAAAATGGAAGCAATATTGTAACAAATTCAGTGTGTGTGTTAGTTGCTCAGTCATGTCCTAGCTCTTTGTGACCCTAATGGACCGTAGCTTGCTGGACCCTTCTGTCCATGGAATTCTCCAGGCAAGAACACTGGAGTGGGTTGCCATTCTCTTCTCCAGGGGATCTTCCTGACCCAGGGATTGAACCCAGTCTCCCACGTTGCAGGCAGGTTCTTTACCATCTGAGCCACCAGGGAAGCCTTAACAAACCCAATAAAAGACTTTAAAAATGGTCCACATTAAAAAAGTATTTTAAAAAATTTTAAAGAAAGATGTGGCATATCTCTGTACCACTTGAATCAGTGGGATGGAATTTTCAAAATCAGGACAAATCTGCCTCTTCTGGTGCTTGGTTGCTGTAAATTTTAGTGAATGAATTTCTCCTTTCCTCTGATGCTTCTCTTAGTATGAGACTTTGTTCTCTCTTGCTTCCTACAAGACTGAGACCTGAGTCTGATAGATATTTCTTGGATCTTTCAGTGGTGAAAAGTCAACACGGGAAGAAAAAGAAGGGTTATCACAACTCTGAAGCCTCAAATGATGTAAGTGTTGACCAAAAAAATAATCATTCAGCTTTTTACTTGTTACCTTTTAAAAATTAATTAATTTATTTTCATTGGAGGCTAATTACAATGTTGTGGTGGTTTTCGCCATCCATTGACATGAACCAGCCATGGGTGTACATGTGTCCCCTACTTGTTACTTTTTAAAAAGCAAACCTTTATGGTGCTCGTGTGTGCATGGATTAGAGGGGCATCAAAAATGAATTAAGATATGGTGCCCAGTTTATAAGAAACTTCTATACAATAACATACAAATAAATTCTTATTAATAAGTTCTCACTTACACAAAGGGAGCTGACAAAAGGATATGGCCAAGCTTCCATGTTCCATGTTGGTATTATTCATGAACAGAAATGAAGGGCATGGATTCAACATGCCCAAGCAAAGAGATTACTCTGAAAGCCCACACTAAAGGCCCACCTCAGCTCTCTCCAGTCACTTGTTACCTTATCTGTCACCATATCTTTTTCCACCATGGAATCAAAGCATGTCACATCTCTAAAAAAAAGGAGTTCCCTGATGGCCTAGTGGCTTTCAGTGCCGTAGCCTGGGTTCAGTCCTTCTCAGGGAACTGAGATCCTGCAGGCCGTGCTCAAAGGAGAAAAAAAAAAACAGCCAAAGGTACACTGGGGAGAGTAACCAGCTCACCTGATGAATATTGATTTTTCTCACTTGGGGCCAGTGGGATTTAGGGTTCTTTAAATCAATACAGTACAAAATCATTTCAACTTAAACTACATTCTTGTGTCAAAAATTCAAATCGTTACAGTAAGAAAATGTTAGAATGATGTGTACTATGTTTATTTTCATGGGTCTATACAAAGAATGATCTCAGCACATTTCACAAATCCCTTAGATTTCTTGCTTCTGTAAAAAATGAACCACTATTCCCTTCGTTTCTGGTTAGGCTGGAATGTTTCAGAATAAAAATTTGAATGGTGAAAAAACCCTCCTTAGTCATTTAGTCTAATTTTATACATCAAGTAAGTGTACTTCCTTGAGTATTAAGGAAGAATTAGAAGATTGCATTTAGAGTATTCTAAATATATTTTTATTTCCCTCTCTCCTTCCCTCTGTTTTCTTTTTTTTTTTTTTCTCCCCAGGAAGGGAGGCAACTGAATTTAACAGGTAAGATTTTTGTCATTTTGTTTCATAGAGATGGCTTCCTTGGGAGTAACAGGCTAATTTTGCAGTTAAAATAATGTTGGGAATTTCAGTGACACATTGTGGGGTCTTGCTATTCCTTGAGGCTGCATTTCTTCCTGCTCACTAACAAGGGTTTATTAGGCAGTGTGTTTAAATGTATAACTAATACTCATTATTAAAAATAAGTCAGGTAACATCAGATGCTATATTCTTAAAGCTTTGTTTTCCTTCACAAGCAGTTGGGTATAGTATAGAACTCTGCCTAAACTCCTAGGTAATCTGAATTGTAGACTCAGTTGTATACTTACTCTTGGTGTATCCTAGTTCCAGTGAGTCAGTGATAAGATGGTCATAAACCCTTGGCCTGCCTTTTAGATTTGTGGATCATTGATCATCAGATCCATGAGGGTGTTAGAAATGAGTTTTTCTAGCTCTCTTATTATATAGATGAGAAAAGAAGACACAGAGATGTTACGTATCGTTCCCAGGGTATAGAGCAAATTACTGAGGACATAGGAGGAGCTGGGATAAGAACTCAAGGTTGTTTCTGTTTTTACTTTTCCCCAGTTGGCTCTTTAGATCTCTAGGACTTACCCATATTCTTAAGTACTGTAAGAAGAGAAATAACTATGGTTTTTCAGAAGTGGGAATTTTGTTTGGAAAAACAAATTTTCAGAGATTCTTCTCTGTTTTTCAGATGTTGACTTGGGTAAATATATCCCTAGTATTGCTGAACTAATGAAAATAACTCAAGTTAAAGAATTTGTTCGGAAGAATGGTATAGAGGAAGCCAAAATAGATGATATCATGCATGACAATCTCCATGAAACAGCTGAACAGAAGGTCCAACTGCTCCGCAGTTGGTATCAAAGTCATGGGAAGAAAAATGCATATTGCACTTTGACTAAAAATCTCCCAAAAGCTCTTGCAGAGAAAATTTGTGACATAGTCACGAAGGACATTACTAATGAACGTGAAAATGCAAACTTGCAAAATGAAAATGAAAACTTGGTTTAAAGTGAAAAACAACTAACTCAGTTCTGAGAATATACTAAATGTTCTAAATATGTTCAAATAAGTTCTGAGTAGCTATAGATATTGCTTGGCTTGGCTTTTTACTGGGTGTGTTTTCTTTTTTCATTTATTAGATTTGTAGAGCTAATATATTTGCTCAAAGCTATTCATAGAGCTAATAGCTTTGAGCATTTCATGATTCTGCCTTGAAGGATTTTTAAAATCTAGTTGGGTAGATGAACTCTGGTGAGAGTAAATACCCATGTTCATCTTCTTGCCTACTAAGTGTGTAAAAAATCATGTATTCAAAGATTGAGATCATGTTCAAGTGTGTAACATATGATTCTGTCAGTGTGAATGTAATTAATGTATGTGAACACAGATGCCTATCCACAGGTTGACCCCATTCCATGAATTAGTAGATGTGATCATTGTTGCCATGTGACAATCAACTGCCTCTAAATTACCTCCCCAGCTCTACTGATAATTCTAGAGATTTTTCCATATTTACAAATTTTGTTTACACCTTTGAGAGGAGTATGTTCAGGGAAAACTTGCATATATTCTCTGAATATAAAATTTAATAAGGTTCTACCTCAAAGATCTTTGCACAGATTATTGGCCTTTCATAGTGAACTATTTCCATTTTGGATTCACATAGAAAATGCAGACTCAATTATAATGCTTGAATATTTTATATTTGTCACTGTAGATCAAATAACCTACTTCTTTCTCAGGTGTCAAACATTTTGATCATGAAAGATTACTAGATCACTGTCATCTCTCTGTTTTCACCTTGATGTGCATCTAGGTAGACTGTGAACCCCCAGACTTGAAAGGACTTCCTAAGAAATACTGAATGATTGATGAAAAGCTGGGGCTGCCCTTAGAAACATCTAGCTTGGTTTGGAGAGGCCAGCTGCTCTTATGGAAGGTAGCTTTGTGGCATATCATGAACCCATGTCTATCACCAAAGCTGATAAGATAGATTCTTATTTTGTTCCATCCCCCACAAAGTGCTCAGTAACTTGCCATGTGTTCTCTCTTGATGTAAAGGCAGCTTATACACAGCAGAAGTGAAATCATACTGCTGCTGCTGCTAAGTCGCTTCAGTCTTGTCTGACTCTGTGCGACCCCATAGACCGCAGCCCACCAAGCTCCCCCGTCCCTGGGATTCTCCAGGCAGGAACACTGGAGTGGCTTGCCATTTCCTTCTCCAAGGCATGAAAGTGAAAAGTGAAAGTGAAGTCACTCAGTCGCGTTCAACTCAGCGACCCCATGGACTGCAGCCCACCAGGCTCCTCCGTCCATGGGATTTTCCAGGCAGGAGTACTGGAGGAGGGTGCCACTGCCTTCTCCAGAAATCATTATAAGTGTTAAGAATTGCCTGTTTTCTGTAGCTTCTTAGACAAGCCCCTCTCCCCACTATCACTTCCTTGCTTTTACATTTAAACACTTTTGAAAGTTTGTATTAACTGTGAATGTTAATAAATACTATTTATGTTTATATAGTTGTAAATGGAAGACAGTTATAAGCTGAAGCAGATGCTCAGAACTACCTAAAGAGCGTCCATTGATGGAAGATGCTTTTCCCTTATGTTTGGAAATAGAAAATATAAACAAAAATATTTTATTAAAATCATGTTTTTGGTATTTCAGGTTATCTCTTTTTTGGTGGGACCTTGCTTTTTATTTTCCCTTTTTCTATTTATTACTAACTGTAACCTGTTCATTAATCTTTCATCCATTCTCTGATCTCTCAGGAGGTATCTTCTTTTGAAAGGCTTTTAGTGGTTAAATCATTTCCTCTATAGGCTTCTACTCTAAAGCATATATCTCCTAAACAACACATAATTACTTATTATGTGAGGACTTACCATGACAGGATTATATATTAGGCACTAGAAGTGTTGTATACTGACACATGTAAATGAAATCTAGCAAAATGGTACAGATGAACGTATTTGCAGAGCAGGAATAGAGATGCAGACGTAGAGAACAGACATGTAGACATAGGCAGGGAGAGGAGGGTGGGACAAACTGGGAGAGGAGCGTTGATACATATACAGTGCGTGCGTGCTGCGTCACTTCCGTCACGTCCGACTCTGCAACCCTGTGGACTGGCGCCTTCCAGGCTCCTCTGTCCATGAATTCTCCAGGCAAGAATACTAGAGTGAGTTGCCATTTCCTCCTCCAGGGTATCTTCCCAACCCAGGGAGTGAAGCTGCGTCTCTTAGGTCTCTTGCATTGACAGGCGGGTTCTTTACCACTAGCACTACCTGGGAATCCCATGTTCCAGTACCATGTGTAAAATAGACAGCTAGTGGGAACCTGCTGCATAGCACAGGTAGCTCAGCTGAGTGCTCTGAGATGACCTAGAGGGGTGGGAGGGAGGCTCATGAGAGAGGGGATACATGTGTATGTATAACTGATTTACTTTGTTACATGGCAGAAACCAACACAACATTGTAAAACAATTATATTTCAATAATAAAATTCCTTAACAATATGTATAACTGGACATAAGAAAAAGAAAAAAGTAATTAGTTCAAAGGATTGGTGTTATTGGTAAGAAAGCTAAATGGGGATTTTGAAATATTCCTTCCTGTGTACTTTTTATTTCTGGCTCCATAAAGACCACTGGACTATCTCTCTTTTTTAAAATTTAATTTTAACAATACATTTTGTTAGTTCATTATTTCTCAATGTTATCATTTCAACATGTAAGCAATATAAAAACCATTAGATCATTTGCATTCTTTTTTGTTTTCCTAGTAAAGCCTTCAAAATCTGGTTTGTATTTTAGTTACAGTTTTAAGCACATCTCAGTTTGGACTGGCTGCATTTCAAAGATTCAACAGCTGGTGGCTAGTGGCTATGGTACTGATAGTTCAGGTCTCTATCTTTATTAGGGCAGGTCTGCAAATTTAACTCTAAGGCTGGTTTAGCCCTACTGCTAAAGTCCAGTACTTTCACCATCTTTTCAAGGGGTTCTCTTCACTGTGGTTGGTTGGAGTGTCATCTCCCACCCTCATGTCACCGCTGGGAATTGTTCTGCTTACAGCACCCATAGCTGTCCTTTGCTGGCTCTCGGAGTCTGATCTCTGCACATGCACATAGTAACAGCCCAAAGATTTCAAAGAATCTCTGCACAGATTTCTGGAACTTTCTTTCTGTGTAACTTCCTTCTTTTCAGTACTCTGTTGAGAAGTCTGGCAGCCTCAGCCTCCTAAATGCTACCCTCTGCCCCTCAACTTGATAAGAAGACTATTCTCTGCTTAGAGTTCCTCCTGTACCAGGGTCTGAAAAGAGCTTGTGGGCAGAAGGTCTGAGTGATCATAGGGGTCACCTCATTAGTTTCTCTCCTCTAAGGGACAATCTGTAATCTCTATTATCTGGTTTTCTAGTTCTAGACAACAGTGGGGCAAGATGATACTAGTTCGTCTTCATGGCCAGAAGCAGAGGTCCTACAGACACATCTCAGTTTATTGTGCTTCACTTTATTGCATTTTGCAGATGTTGTGATTTTTACCAACAGGTTTTGTGGCAACCCTACATCGACCAAGACTATTGGCGTCATATTTTTCTAACAGCATTTGCTCACTTCATGCTCATTTTGGTAATTCTTGCAGTATCAATATCTTGGACTTTCTCATGATGATTATATTTATTATGGTGATCTGTGATTAGAATCAAATCCCATACCCACCAGAGATGCTCAGAGGGCTCAAACCAACCTTTTGCGCACCAGGACTCGGAGACTCCACAGAGACTGAGACAGAACTGTGTTTGGGTGTCTCCTGAGGAGGTACGGGTCAGCAGTGGACTGCTGCAGGGGCAGGGGCTCTGGGTGCAGTAGACCTGGGTATGGCATAAGCCCTCTTGGAGGAGGTCACCATTAACCCCACCATAGAGCCGCCAGAACTTACACAGGACTGGGGAAACAGACTCTGGGAGGGCACAAAGAGAAACTTGTGTGCATGAGGACCCAGGAGAAAGGAGCAGTGACCCCACAAGAGACTGACCCAGACTTGCCCATGAATGTCCATATGTCTCTGGCAGAGGCGTGGGTCAGCGGTGGCCTACTGCAGAGTTGGGGGCACTGAGTGTAGCAGTGTGTGCATGGGACCTTTTGAAGGAGGTCGCAGTTATCTTCATTACCTCCACCATAGTTTGGCCTCAGGTCAAACGGCAGGGAGGGAACACAGCCCTGCCCTTCAACAAAAAATTGGATTAAAGATTTACTGAGCATGACCCTGCCCATCAGAGCAAGACCTGGTTTCCCCCTCAGTCAGTCTCTCCTATCAGGAAGCTTCCATAAGCCACTTATCGTTTTCCATCAGAAGGCAGACAGACTGAAAACCACAATCCAGGAAAACTAACCAATCTAATCACGTGGATCACAGCCTTGTCTAACTCAGTGAAACTACGAGCAATGCCATGTAGGGAACCCAAGATGGATGGGTCATGGTGGAGAGTTCTGACAAAACGTGGTCCGCTGGAGAAGGGAATGGCAAACCACTTCAGCATTCTTGCCTTGAGAACCCCATGAACAGTATGAAAAGGCAAAAAGATAGGAGACTGAAAGATGAACTCCCCAGGTCGGTAGGTGCCCAATATGCTACTGGAGATCAGTGGGGAACTAACTACAGAAAGAATGAAGAGATGGAGCCAAAGCAAAAACAACACAGAGCTGTGGATGTGACTGGTGATGGAAGTAAAGTCCGATGCTGTAAAGAACAATATTGCATAGGAACCTGGAATGTTAGGTCCATGAATCAAGACAAATTGGAAGTAGTCAAACGGGAAATGGCAAGAGTGAACGTCAACATTTTAGGAATCAGCGAACTAAAATGGACTGGAATGGGTGAATTTAACTCAGGTGACCATTATATCTACTACTGTGGGCAAGAATCCCTTGGAAGAAATGGAGTAGCCATCATAGTCAACAAAACAGTCCAAAATGCAGTACTTGGATGCAATCACAAAAATGACAGAATTATCTCTGTTTCCAAGGCAAACCATTCAATATCACAGTAATCCAAGGCTATGCCCTGACAGTAATGCTGAAGAAGTTGAAGTTGAATGGTTCTATGAAGACCTATAAGACCTTTTAGAACTAACACCCAAAGAAGATGTCCTTTTCATTATAGGGGACTGGAATGCAAAAGTAGGAAGTCAGGAAACACCTGGAGTAACAGGCAGGTTTGGCCTTGGAGTACAGAATGAAGCAGGGCAAAGGCTAATAGAGTTTTGCCAAGAGAATGCACTGGTCGTAGCAAGCACCCTCTTCCAACAATACAAGAGAAGACTCTACACATGGACATCACCAGATGGTCAATACTGAAATCAGATTGATTATGCTCTTTGCAGCCAAAGATGGAAAAGCTCTATAAAGTCAGCATAATCAAGACCAGGAGCTGATTGTGTCTCAGATCATGAACTCCTTATTGCCAAATTCAGACTTAAATTGAAGAAAGTAGGGCAAACCACTAGACCATTCAGGTATGACCTAAATCAAATCCCTTATGACTATACAGTGGAAGTGAGAAATAGATTCAAGGGATTAGATCTGATAGACAGAGAGCCTGAAGAGCTATGGATGGAGGTTCATGATGTTGTACAGGAGGCAGTGATCAAGACCATCCCCAGGAAAAAGAAATGCAAACAGGCAAATGGTTGTCACAGGAGGCTTTACAAGCAGCTATGAAAAGAAGAGAAAGGCAAAGGAGAAAAGAAAAGATATACCCATTTGAATGCAGAGTTCCAAAGAATAGCAAGGAGAGATAAGAAAGGCTTCCTTGGTGATAAATGCAAAGAAAGAGAGGAAAACAATAAAATGGGAAAGACTAGAGATCTCTTCAAGAAAATGAGAGATACCAAGGGAACTTTTCATGCAAAGATGAGCACAGAAATGACAGAAATGGTATGGGCCTAACAGAAGCAGAAGATATTAAGAAGAGGTGGCAGGAATACACAGAAGAACTGTTCAAAAAAGATCTTCACAACCCAGATAATCACGATGGTGTGATCACTCACCTAGAGCCAGACATCCTGGAATGCAAAGTCAAGTGGAAGCATCACTATGAACAAAGCTAGTGGAGGTGATGGGATTCCAGTGGAGGTATTTCAAATCCTAAAAGATGATGATGGAAAAGTGCTGCACTCAATATGCCAGCAAATTTGGAAAACACATCAGTGGCCACAGGACTGGAAAAGGACAGTTTTCATTCCAATCCCAGAGAAAGGCAATGCCAAAGAATGCTCAGACTACCACACAATTGCACTCATCTCACATGCTAGCAAAGTAATGCTCAAAATTTTCCAAACCAGGTTTCCACAGTACGTGAACTGTGAACTTTCAGATGTTCAAGCTGGACTTAGAAAAGGCAGAGGAACCAGAGATTAAATTGCCAACATCTATTGGATCATCGAAAAAGCAAGAGAGTTCCAGAAAAACATCTACTTCTGCTTTATTGACTACACCAAAGCCTTTGACTGTGTGGATNTTGAACTGTGGTGTTGGAGAAGACTCTTGAGAGTCCCTTTGACTACAAGGAGATCCAACCAGTCAATCTTAAAGGAAATCAGTTCTGAATATTCATTGGAAGGACTGATGCTGAAGCTGAAGCTCCAATACTTTGGCCACCTGATGCGAAGAACTGACTCATTTGAAAAGATCCTGTAAATCCATGGCTGATTCATGTCAATGTATGACAAAAACCACTACAATATTGTAAAGTAATTACCCTCCAACTAATAAAAATAAATGGAAAAAAAAATCCTGATGCTGGGAAAGATTGAAGGCAGGAGGAGAAGGGGACAACAGGGGATGAGATGGTTGAATGGCATCACTGACTCAATAGACATGAGTTTGAATAAACTCCAGGACTTAATAGACATGAGTTTGAGTAAACTCCAGGACTTGATGGACAGGAAGGCCTGGCATGCTGCAGGGGTCACAAAGAGTCGGACACGACTGAGTGACTGAACTGAACTGAACTGT